AGAGAGAGAGACGGGGATGGAGGGAGAGGGAGGGAGTGATTGGTTGACTTCCTCAGGCTACCTGAGCTCCCCTTGCTGTAGCACAAATGTATTGCAATTGGGTACGTCCACTCTGCCATTGAATTGAAAGGAGTCTTCATCGGGGGTGGCCTGGATTAACGCCCCCCATGCTGCTACAGTTCCTTTTGCATTTGCCTGCAGCCGTTTCGGGAGCATTGTGTGTGACATCAGATTGAGATATAGAGTCCTTCGATAGCATCCCTTTTGGGACCTTATGCTTCATGATAGGAAGAAATGCTGTCCTGGCCCGCCAGAAACCCCGGGCCCAAACACCGGGCCCAAACTACGCGCCCCTGCTGTGGGCGTTGGTGAGGACATCAATTTGGGCATGGTGGTGGTGGGATACACTTGGACTCCAGCGGCCGGCTATGACGAGAGTCGCTTCAAGGGCACCTTGCAGGCGGGCGGACGCCAAGCATGTCGCCGCCGGTCTTTGACGGGTCGCCGGACTAATATTGACTAATTATTCATGGAAAACTGACTTTTGGACCTATTTTTAGCAATGTTTTGAGCCGAAGTCTAATCCTGGCAACTGGGGTGACAGTGACCATGCCACACAGAATCGGGGGATGAAGCGCGGACTGGACCTAGGAAGAACCTGCATGTTGGTCGTGCGTATCCGTTTGTTCTGCCAGGTGAGAATACGACGAGCAGAAGGAGCTGTGAAGTTGGGTGACGATATACAAACACAAACCTCAGACCAACTGAGTCATGTAGACCTTTTCTAGAATCTAGAATTGATTGTTGCGGAGATGATTAGTATTATTTTTGGGGTTAGAGTCTTCCCCTTGCGACCGGGGCATGCGAGCGCAGGCGAGCGCATGCGACCGGCGTCAAAGGCAAAAGCTGAAGGCTGAAGGTCCACAAGAACCGGATGTCCAGAGTGATGAGATGTTCCGATCATAGGAAGTTTGTCTTACTTTCATGAGCTCATGTTTGGATCTTCTATTTGGTCGAAGTATAGCGACCTCACCCGACGTCACTCCAAATTACGACTTAACATGACCTAACATTTGGAAACAACAGACTACTGTTGGGTGAGGTTGCAAAAAAAGGTTGGCCCCTCAGACCAACTGAGTCATGTTGCTGTTTTGTTTCTGACTTTTTGTGTGACTTCGTTTTGACTTTTTACTAGACTTTTTGGACGTGTTTTCTACTTTTGACTTTTTGGACTTGTTTTCCGACTTTCTTTCTGATTTTTATTTGCCTTGTTTTTGGACTTTTTGGAGTTGAGTTGCTTTCTAATGTTTACTTTGATACAGACATGTTTCGGACCTATTTTTGACTTTGACTTTTCCATTTGACTTCTTTGGGACTTTATTTGACTTTTTACACAGTCTGTCCTGGCCTTACCATATGAAGTGTTTGTATTTTGGTTTTAAACAGCCATAGGTTTTCAAGATTTAATACCAATAAATGGTCCGAACGCCGAAGGCCAAAGGAACGGTCAGAACGGCTTAGAACTAGTTCGATTGGCTATCACAGACATGGGGCAAAAAAAAGGGGCAACACGCAACTACTTGTACTTGACAAAATTAAACCAGGTTAGAAAAAGATGAGGCCAAAGAGGTTAGGTTCATCGATGTGGCGGGCAATGAAACTTAAGTTTAAACCTTAAAAACTAAGAACCAAATGAATAGTGCGAGCGCTTCTTCAAGGATGCGTGACCTATCCTGCGTCCATGCTAGTAGCTTAAATAACCTACTTGATCAAGTAGGGAGGGGGGGCAGCGGGCTTAATTGAAAAACATCAAACAACTGAACATAACTGAACACTTTCAGATGCTGGGTCTGGTTTCGAACTGGTATATTGGCATATTGGCATCAAACGCGTTTCGATCGTTTTCCACTGGATACGCCTACCCTTCCGACGGGTTGAAAATTGCCTCTTGGATGGTCCGAATAGGTTCGAACGCGTGAGAATGGGTTTCGATGCATGTTCGCGTAGCGCCATATTTCTTGAATCAATATATGATTTGTCAGCCAAATGTATCGCATTTGGTTTAGCATGTATTTACTCCACGACGTCATCCAATGAACAACTGCTGTGGGCCCGCATCTTGATCATCCCGCGCGGCACCCGGAGTCACAGTCACACCTAAACCATCGCCACGTGTCTTGAACATGCACATGCAGCCACAGAGCATGCATGCAGAAGAGGACTTCCTCGGAGCGAATGGAAGAAGGAAGGCAAGCGGAACGTCTACGCGATCGTGCGATGTTGGCCCAAGCCCCCACGGAGTGGATGGATCCTTGGTCCCAAGACGGGGATGGTGGGGCGAGCGCCGGAGCGGAGCGTCGACGCAATTTGGAGCTCCTGAAATTGGGATGTGGGGTAAGAAGCTTCCTTGTTGAGCCGGGTCATTGATCCAGATTTGGTCTAGATGTATATATTTATATATAATTTCCTCGCACAATGGCCAGATTTGTACAGCAGAGGGATATCGGAGGTAGTGCAGTGCAGGATGACAGGAATTTTGTCGACTGCATGGACTGCGACGGTTTCGTCACTCGTTTGTCGACTCACAGCGTGCGAAGCAATTAGACTCCACTCATGACAGCAAAGAACTTGAGGATGGAGTGGAGTCAAATTGCTACATGAGATCAAACTACTTGAGGATGGATCACACTACTCCACTCATGGAATCTAAGATCCATTCGCGCACTGCTTCTGTGACCTTGCAGTGGGCCTCCAGTTCTCACCGGCTTGCAAGGATGGGACAGAGCTTTGAGGAGCATCACACTACTCAGATTGTGCACCTTCAGCCGCAAATTGGAAGCTTCTGGAGTGGGGAAACAGCGTCATCCCTCCCCCTAGGCTAGAGCATTTGAACATAATTGAACAATGTTCGTCCATTGGCTTGGAAGTCAGAGGTGGAAGGTTCAAGGTGGCTTTTACGAAAAAGGGGACTTGCTTCAAGAAGTGTGCGGGGACACGGGGACATGCGCAGGCCTGGCGTCGGTGACAGGCCACGGTGTGGAATCCATTGGTTTCGTTTGATTAGCAGGGTGTGGGTGTGGCAACTGACCAATGGAAAAGCCGGAGGTTGGTGGTCACAGCAACAGTATTTGAGGATACCCATGGGCTCTGAAGAAGTAAATGGATGAACGGATGAACTGGATCCCAGACTTTGACAATCAGATCTTTTTTTCGATTCATGTTTGCTAGCAGCCCGCAGATCTGCGACACGGAGGCTTTTGGTTTGGTTTTGATCTCCTTCACAGGTCACACCCCACAGCCCTACCAAGCCCATTGGTGAAGCTTTGCACGTTCTCAACTGACTCCACCCAGCACAACTGAGTCACTCCACCATGCGCTTGCCTGCCCCGGCTCTCCCACAGCTCCGCAGCTCTGAACTGCGGAAGAATCACCTCACCTCGCCAGGGATGGGACGTTGAACCCCGTTTGGGATGAATCCTTTGAGTTTGACTTCGATTGGGCCCGCGATTGGCGACCTCAAAAGGTGGCGGATGTGGACACTCGCAGTGGCTTCGACGTATGTGGGGGTGTGAACGTAGTGGGCCGATGGCGGTGAGAAACTGACAAAGTCTCAGGGGGAACGCATGGAACAGTGAGGATGGTTGCGATGTTTGTGTGTGCGTGTGTGTGTGTGTTTTTTTTCTATGTTCAAGTCTTTCAATCATCAATTTATATACAGGAATAATAGATTTGACATGATTTGACAATTTGGATTGTTTATTTTTCCTTGTGACTCGTCGGTCTTTTGGGTAACATGATCCACCAGGCAGATCTGTTTGTTCTACAAACCGGCGCCGTGGAAAATATATTGCGGCATTTGGAATGTTTTGAGATGAAGGTATTCTATTATGAAGGGTGTTCCAAATGCGTAGATCCAAAGGAGTGCAGGAGGCGATGACTCACTGTCTTTCTTGCGATGTCAAGGGGCCCGATCCCATGCTGAGGCCAGCGAGTGCAAGACATTTCTTTGTCCCTCAGGACACGGGTGAAGGAACTGTTGAAGACCATAGAAGGATCATAACGGACATGCATTTACAAAGAAATATTGCAGAATCGAAACCAGCATGACTTGGAATACCTGTAATCCTACCTTTTCCTCCCAATCTACCTCCTTATGCTTTCACGCCTCTCCCTCTTACTGCCCCGCGGCAGGAGGGGCAATTCGGTGCACTCCAACAGCTCCATGGTTCGCAAGTCTAAGTCACAGGCCCAATGGGGTGAAGACGAACTGTGCACCGGCAGAAAATACTGAATGCGATGTGTCAACGTCCCAGCTCTTAGTTGCATTATAATGCACTCATCGGGGCAATGGAAACCGCCCGTCCATCCATCCATCGCTTCCATACACGTTAAGCCCGTGGTTTCGGAACAAGTGGGTTTGTATTGCAGTGAGGAGACCCGCCACAAACCCCTCCAACATCGGATGCCGTGGGGAGACCCACGCTGCTCCGCCGTTCTCCGAGAGGTCCTGAACCCCACCATCCGCCCCACGGTCGTCGGGGAGCCCAGCGGGAAGGTCTGGGGCACCGACGATGTGTTTGCGAAGTCGATTTGCACGTTTGAGTACTTGGGATTGAGGGGGTTGGTCTTAAGACATGTCAACCTGAGTGTGCGCCATCTCAACTCGAATCACGGTGGTCGCCATATGACAGTGTGCTGTGCGCCGGTGGAGTTCTGACGGGTCGCTGGGGGTCCGAAGGAAGTCTAAAACACAAGAAACTCTCCATTTGTGAGGTTGCCACCATTTGAAAAACATTTGTGTGTTGGAGAAATGGATGAGAATTTCGTAGAGCGATGGCCAATTCCGCTTTTCACCGACCCCCTACTCAACAACGGGTGGACGATGTCGTAAGGGCATGACTCGATTGATCTCGATTTCAACATTAGGAAACCTCAAAAGAATCGAGGTGTTTTGCGGCAGCGTAAGTCGAGACGAACCCACAGTTGTCATACACATGCATTGATAAACTCAGGGAGAGAGAGAGAGAGAGAGACGGGTCTGGTGGATTTTTCGACCAGGCCCCTCGGAATCGTCTCATTGGGTCCCCGGGATGGTTCGATCCTTTGTGATGTCCGGGACCTGCGGAAAAATCCAGCTAGGACGATGGTAAAACGATGTACACTCCCGAAAACTAACATAGACCCTGACAATGGCCCCCTGGAAGAGTGTTTTCCTCTACCAACCAGTGGCTTCGAGGGTCCATGTTAGTCTTCCAAGGAGTATCTAAGCCTTTTTCTCTTGGCACTTAGCCGGCCTAGGTCACTTGGCAAACTCATCCTTGTTCTTCTTCCTTAACTCAACTCGTCAGCATATTCATACGTTACTTGTATACCGTTTGGGAAGTGGATTGTTTGTCCTCATCGGAACAGGAGATATTCAGGATATTCAGTGCCTCTCTCACCCTCCTCTCCAGGTTATGGAGGACTCAGATGATGCGGAAGTCGCACAAAGTCGTCAGGTGCGGCGCCTGAAGGCCGAGGCGGGGAGACCCGGTGAAGCGGCGGCTGGGGGGCGCCGATTCGGATTCTTACACAGAGGATTCGGATTCCTTAAGGATCAGGAACGCACCAACCATGACTAGGAGCAAGAAGCTACCAGGGGCTCCTTGCATCGCTCGTAGGAGCAAGGACGCTACTAGGAGCAAAGGGCATCGCTTTCTAGAACGAACTTCGCCGTTGCATGGCCCTGCCAAACGCTGGGAAGCTTGCGGCAGCTGCTTGCGGCCTCGTAGCCTTTCCGCTCGCTCCAGGTGGGTTCGATGTCTCGGAGCTTGCGGCGCTTAGAGACCCAGCTCTATGACCTCCTGGACCCAGGCGTACGTGAACAAACAGAAGAGCTTGCAATGGGTGGGTGCTTGACCGCTAACCACTCGGTCAAAACCGGGAAGAGACCACATGGAACCTGAACATGTACCTGACTGGAAGACGATTTGTCCTCTACAACCCACTGGTTTTCAGGTTCCATGTGGACCTCTTTCAGGTGTAAAAACCGGTATTGATATGGGACCGAAGGGAGCGTTTTCTGACGGCCGATTGGACTGGGTCCGGGCCCGGCCGAGGGACCGGGGCGTAGAAAGGCACGTCAGCTGTACGGGTCACGTGAGGGGTGGGAACACCCCTCCCGCTAAGTCACCTTGCCATGTGCAGTCCATGTTGGGTGCATGGCTGTGCAAACAGTCCATGTTAGCTAATTGGGTCCAAGCATGTGTGTCCACGATAGTCTGCGAACGTGTATTGCTGACATGAGGAGAGTTGGGGAGCATCGCCGCTTCTTTGGTGAAGCATGGTGAAGCGGGGTTGGTCGATAGCCAATAGCTGCGAACAGAGCCATTTGTCCGAAGCAACCAGCACAACTGGGAGAGTCTCATTGGAGTAGATTCGCAAGCGCAGTAGGTGCTGGCCCACTTGGTTATACAAAATCTTATTCTATTCAGCCCTTGTGCTGGACCAGCAGGCACCAGTAGTGCCGGATGTGAAGGCAGGCAGATGTGCTTCGAGGATCCCATGATAATAGTAACGGCTTTTTCTGACAGCCTTTTGCCATCAGCTTTTGCGCCAGGCACTTCAACGCAGGCCACACTGAGACCACACATGCTAGACTACCCGGCCAGCCCAAGTCATGATCATCCGGCCAGCCCGAGTCGCTCGGTTGTGCAGAGTTCTTTGTTTGCGTGCCCCTTTCTGTCAAGCCCCTTCAAGTCGATGTAACGACTATATCACACTAGTATATATAGAGTTTGTTTCTCCAGGTTTCACACTCCTGTGCAAATCCAAGGTTATGATCACCCGTCCAGCCCGAGCTACGATCATCCGGATAGCCCGAGTACTGCGCATCCGGACAGCCCCGTTGGTCCAGCCTATGATCATCCGGCCAGTCCATCATTCGAGCCGCCACATATTGGGCAGCAAGAGAGTCCCCACTATACCCGAAGCCAGGAGTCCTCGTGCCCTCCTGAGATTATGCAAGCTGGTCACAGGCACTTGTTCATTGGGGTGTTCATTGTTCATGAAGTGAGCACCTGGAAGACGATGGTTGAACTGTAAACAGGATGTTTGGAATCCTTATACTAGAAGCAGTTCTCATAGCAAGGTCGAGATATGTCGAGATGATGCAGAAAGTAGCCGAACGCATGCCAAATATAGGGGGCACATGGATGTGACTGGCTTGTCAATGGGTTGCAAAGAATATGTTTCAGATTCACCTAGATGGATTTCACCTTGATGGAGTTGCTGTGATTCTTTCAGCACGGCCAAGGCGCATGGGCCGCCCGACCAGTGAGGCAACGGACAGGAGTTCGGGGCTCATTGATGAGAGCATGATGCTTGGCTCGGGAAGGGCACCTAAGATAAAGGAACATTTCTGGAAGGAGTTATGTTCTCCAGCATTTCTTGCGACGGTCTCCTAAAGATTTTCTTGCTGCTCATCACAAAGCCAATGTGGGCAAAAACATGTAAAAATCTTAGAGACTTGCTTCACAGATGTTCACAGCATGTGTGACAATCATGGACATACAACTCCAAGACCGTTTCCACACCAATGCCGTCAATCCGCCTAGAAGATGTGGCTGCAGCAACAAAATGAGTTAAGATCAAGGTGGAAGCTGAAGAAAAGGCCCTTGGACCAGAAGTGTTGAGGGCCCCATCTTCTGGGTGACCCTGTGAGCTTTGTAATGTGCTGTATGTGTTTGTTTTTGTTTTTAGTCTTTATTTTTAATAAGTGCACTTCATAGGCGAAGGTTGCAGACTACGAGAAGGCTGCCTCATCCCAGGTGAGGCCCTCATCTTGAAACTGAGGCGGCCAATTCCAAGACGCCCCGACAAACAACTGCCATCCTGCATGGGGATTAGGAATTTAGTCCCCTGTATGACCTAATGTCCACACATCGAAGTTCCGAAGCGCCTCGTGGATTCTTTTGCACAGCATCGGCTTTTGGGTCCGCCACTTTGGTCGGTCTACCCTGCTTTCCGCCACTTTGGCCGGAAAGAGCCGTCAGGAATCTGCCAGGATGTCCCCCAGATGCAGATCTCCAGTGACACGCGCGGTGTCAACCTGACAGGTGAGGGAACATGTCAACCTCAAAATGACCAGACAGAAACTGGATGAAAGTAGAGTCGTTCACAAGGCTTGGATTTCAAGTGCATTTTGACTTGAAGACTTCGAATTAAACCATTGGACCAATTATGTCCAGACATGTCCAGACCATGTGGTTGCAAACTTCAGCTTCGGTGCGGCGCTTTTTTCTCTGCGTTGGTAGCTCTCGAGGCGCGAAAAAACGGTTTCACCGGCGGGCTGTTCAAGATACCCGCTGTTTCCGGGAGCGCTCTTCGGGCTGATCCATCCGGGGCAGCGCTGAAGCATCGCAAAGCATGGCGAAGCACTGCGTCAGCGCTGAAGCGCAAGGGAAACCTGTAACAAGCTCTGTTGACATTGCAGCGTGTTAATATTTTAGTGATGATGCCACCAGGAATGGATGGACCGAAGACACTCGAGTTCTACAGGCCCTATTTGCAAAGATGCAAGTACGCCTGGAAAACCCGTCACCGATCGTCAGTTTTGCGTGCTTCCTTCCTGGCATCACGCGCGCACCTGCAAACGACGGAGATTTGGAGGTGAAGAAAAGGATCGACTGTTTGCGGCGTTGTGCTCGAGGAGCACCTTTGGTTCCAAACCCATCTTTGCCCGAATCGACTGGTTGCGGGCCATCCCCACAAATCAAACCAAGTGCGTCGCAGCACCTGAAACAGACACACATGGAAATCAACATTTGGATGGTGGAGTTTGCCCCATCTTCGGTCGTCCAGTCCAGCGTTCCAGCTCCATTCTCATGCAGGGCGGTTCCGTTTCGGCTTCCCAGTCGTCTCCTCTCGGCACGAGCGCTAGGCGAAGAACCGGGCTGCACAGCAGGAAGAAGTACTGGGTGTGTGAGAAGCCCAGAGTTGTGCAGCGTCATTGAGAGATCGTTTTCCGGGGAGCCAAGCATACAGCTACAAGATGCTATAAGTAGTTTTTTTGGGGGGTCAAATCATCATAATCACTGCCACAGAACAAATCTCCAAAGGGGTGCTTATTTGTACGTCCTCACAGCAGTCACAGCCCAGCTCTTCTTTGTGGGGAGAAGGCGCCCCCTTCCTCTGGGGGTAGCTACCATCAGCTCCCGCTGTCACTCAGGTTGGGCCAGTGGGTGTCACAGATGCGCTCCGAGCAGGACGGCGGGAAGATGCCGGTTGGACACGTGCGGACGTCGCTCCGCGGTGACGATGCCGGGTGAGCCAATCAGAGTCATCCGGAATTCAGTGAACAAAATGGAACAAAAAAGAATTGCAAATTCAGTTGAAGAAGTGAAGAATATCTGGCCAGAAAGGCTTGCAAGCAGCTGTTTCATGAGGCTTTTCTTTGGGAGTCAGAAGCTATCGGGGTCATGAGGTGCACAGAGTTCTTTGGAACAATGTCGATCACGCAGAACAGACTCTCAAGAAGCCCAGGTGATCCAAAATAATTTGATCTTGAAGATCGCTGAAAGTGGTACCACCCAGAGGTCACATCAAAGCTTGCGTGTGACATCCCCTTTTTCTGTCTAGCCGCTGGAGTCCAATCCAAATGCCTTAAAACCGTATCGTGTCGTGTTTGATCCTTTCCTTGCACGCACAGGGCAGGCATGCCTCAGAGCTCAACGACAACTTGCGGGTCCGTCGGGCGCCGCGTCAGAGCTCAGCGCCGCTTCAGAGTCCCAGCCACGCCGCGGGGTGAAGCGCCGCGTGCCGAGACAACGCCCATAGATAGTGGGTGGATGGTGCCCCTGTCCTCCTATCACTAGCTTATAGAGTGTTCTTGCTCCTAGGCCTTTAGTGTTCATCATCTCCCAGGACAATCGTTCTGATGCGAAGCTCGTTTGGAGGGTCAAGGTATCTTCCCCAGAAAGATGCCCTTTGAGGATCCACTCTTTTGGAAAGACAACCAGGTAGGTTGGGGTTTAAGGGTGTCCTCAGAAGCACTACTGAGTGCAGATGCCATTAGACACAATCAATACCGATTAGATAGCCTAGTGAAGGCCCCTACTGCCCCAGTAGTCAATAGTCCAATGACCATATTATCTATACCGTCTATACCGTGTGTGTGTGTGTCCCACCCTGGACAAAGGGTCTTACCCCACCACTTTCAC